ATGGTATCCTAAAACTGGATATTATTAATCAGATATAAACAAATAAAATCTACAGTTCTGTGGTTTTCTTAAATTTAAAACACAGAACTAAAACTGTTTCCAGATGAAAATAACGTAAAATGCATTGTTAAATTCTAAAAAAAAATTGTGCTATCATTTTATTAATGAATTATTAAATACAAATAGAATATTCTATGACATTTATAGCATCCATTTTAAGCAAGAAATTAAATTAATATAGAAACTATGTAAATATATAATAAAAACAAGTTCTTTTTAAGTTATGAAGAAATAAAAATTTGTAAAATAATTAAATGAATAAAGTCTCTGTATTGTAAACTTTTGTTTTTGATGAAATAATGATGACAGATAAAGTGTATACTATATTTATTTAACTTCATAAATGAGTGTTTATCATTCAGAATGATGTTATCTCACATAAATTTAAGAAGCCATAACAATGGGTTGCATTTTTTAATTTAAAATAATATATGTTGAAACGGTAAGAATCAATCATATTTTATCAATTTATAATTCGAAATTTTTCGTACATTTCGAAAGATGAAAGACAAATGGATATATGTGATGTATTTTATATAGAGTAGTTGCTTTCGAGTTGAAAACACGACAGATATAATTTTCTTTCTGTAATTTTGCAACCAAAGTTATTTCTATATTGTACTTAAAATTGTACTTAAACAATCAAATTGTACTTAAACAATCACAATATTTTTGTAGATCTTCAACTCTTATTGCTAATTAAGCATGTATTGTCAATTTCTTCGATTTCGTTGTATTTTAATCAGTTTAGTTTTTAGAATTTTGCAATGCTGGGAAGACAAATCAATTACTTATTGACAACATTTATAGTATTGGAAATCAAAGATAAAATTCAAAATGATTTTAATATGGTATATTAATAAAGTTGCTATTTTTTGTTAATAATTTGATGGAAAACCAAAAATTTCTTTTACTTGTTTCAAAATTATAAAAAGCTTAAAATAGTTTTAAAAAAAAACATTTTACAGTTTCTATATACTAATAAAAACGCCATGCAAATAGCAGGCATGATTCCAAACAATGCGATGCCCCATGTCACAGTGAGAAAAATACTAAAAAGTACGGGACAACATGCATAAGATGCTAGAAAAATCAGCTTACTCTCCATTTTATTGAAAATTTTAAAGTCATTATTTCATCAGAATTAAAAAGTTTCTCCAAGGTAATATTGAACTATAAAAATTTATAATTTATAAATAAAAGTTTGAAAGTTTGAAAAATTTATCGGATGTAACTATTATGATATGAAAACATAAGATTACGTCCGCATATCATATAAAAAATGATATTTTACATCATAACTTTTATTATTTCGCTAATTTTATTTATCAACTGATATGTTGAAATTCCTTTTAAAATATGTATTAAAAATTATAACAACAAAATTTGAAGATGGAGTGTTGCACAAATATATACCTACTAATTTTTCTAGAAATATATATATTAATATTTTTCCTTTGACAACTGTATGCTAAAGTTAATGTGGTGCAGTTCTTTTTTTCATCCTGAATGATGTATTTATTACAATTTCAACAGTGCTTGCTAAGTAACCATAAGGAGCAACGTTTTTAAAATCTCTCATTTTGTCTTAAAGTTAATTTTTTCTCCGTCACCTCAGCTACTGAATTGCAGTTGCCCTCACGAGGAGCCATTCTTCCTTCATAATTTATTCTTTCACTGGTTCCTTACTTTCTCCTAATGCACTTCCTATGTTTTCTCTAGTTTTGGCGAAATTGAATCGGAAGATGGCAGCACGGAAAAACTCCTAAAGGATATCCCAGTATGTATACATTTTACTTAATATTTTCAAATTAAAATTTAAGAAATCCTACTTTTGCACTTTGTAAGTGAGCACTAGAGCATTGTGGAATGTAATAAATAAATCATTTTGTATAAAAGAAAATTTGTAACACATTAAATTTGACTTATGATAGTAAAAGAAAGTAATTGCTCTTATTTTACTGGAAACAAAAAGTGGTAGGTATCATATTATAGGTTTTCATATTATTTTTAAATTGCAACTCAATATGTAAACTATTGAATAAAATAAAGAAAAAAACGAAAGTAAAATTCAAAAATATAACTCTTTTTTTATGATATGCATGCGTAAACTTATGGACACATAACATAAAAGTTACATCTGATAAATTGTTCAACATTTCGAAGACATGAATAGGTTTATAGTTATTGTAACTAACTATTGAGATTCACTTTTTATTCCGATAAAAAATTAATTTTCTGTAATATGAAGTAGAGAGTCTTTTTTGACATCACATGTATGTATCTCCATAATCTTACGATGATATGGGCTCATCGGATTGTTTTAACTTATAATTTTTATTTGTATTGCAGTTTTGTCAGTATATGGAAACAATAGAATATTTTTTTATTAAACTATATTTCATTTTTAATAACTTTTTAATCCAGTTAAAGAAATTATTTACTTTAAAAGTCCAGAGTACTAGATATTTAAGAAGCAAAAGAAAAGATCAAGAAAGGTCAACGAATATATTGCTATAGGAAAAAAAAGATTTGTTGAACAATCAATTTGTTGAATTTGTTATTGTGTAACAATTAATAAAAATAAAATTAAAAAGGTATGCCAACGGCACGCGGTGTTCCCAGGTGGTCACCCTCCCAAGTACTGACCGCGCCCGATGATGCTTGACTTCGGTGATCGGATGAGAACCGGTATTTTCATCATGGTATGGCCGTTGACATTCATTGTACAATTCAGTTTCTTTAAGAACTTCATTTCGAAAAAAAATCCGACATCTATTATGTGATATTAAAATCAATTAAAATCAGTAAAGTTCGAATTAAACTTTATTTTCAAATGATAATTTCTCAATTGTATTCAGAAAGATGTAATTTCAGGCAAAAAAATCAAATTTTTAAAAATTCACATTGTCTTAGTACACATTTTTTGCACAATTTAATTGCATCGTTTGAACGATTCCCAAGTAGCACCGAATATTAGCTAACATCAGAAAATAGGTAAAATCTAACGTTATCTTACATAACCTCTAATATTAGAAAGATACAAAAGGTCGCTGTTTGCTCAGCCTTATATAACATTAGATTCTATGCAAACTAATATTATCTAGCGTTCGCCATATTATTATTTTGCATTAGTTTTGATGCTATATAATATTAGATTTTGTATTTTCTGATATTAATTTGCTTTGCTTTTTATTTTTTTGGAGTAAGCAAGAGGAAGATATGGATGGTAGTAGAATAATTCGGCGATATAATTTTACTTAATTTTCTGTATTGTTGTGAAGCACTAAAACATATGCACTAAACAATAGTTTTATGTCATTCCATGCATTATTTACATAGCAATACAGAAATACTAAATAAAGTTATATTAGCAAATTCTGCTTCCTTCCATTTTTCTCCTCTTTACTCCAAAGTATATCTTATGTTCAGCTGATTTTTTTGAATATTTCGAACTTAATTAGGAAATATTTTATTGCAACTTTTATTGATATTTTTTTTTCCTTCATACAATGGGTTTTAAAGCAAATTTTATATCACTAATAATTTTCAAGTCTTAAAATTTAAAATGCACTCTCAATTTAAAAAAAGAATGAGACTATTTTATCAAAACCTCAATTGAATTTGTTAGTTTGTAATATATATATATATATGTATTAAAATTTGTAATTTAAGCCATTTGTAATTTTACAATTATCAATCATTATTTATATTCTGAAATTGTAAATTAAGAAAACCACACTACATAATTGCTAAGTTAAATTTACATTTGAATTGAGTTGAAAATTTACCTTAACTTTTTTTTCTACTAGTATATAACTAAGTTATTCATTTCCAAAAATATTAAAATAAAATTATATCTCAAATTTTTAAATTGTTATTTTTTGTAATAACTGACACAATGAAAAAAATTGAAAAATATTCAAATTACTTACTTGCATAAATTATTTCACTTCTATCACTGAAATTAAACAGAGAAATACTTACGTAACTTTATCCTTTTAGAATCTGAAATTTTACTTACGAAACACTAGAAACAAAACCTAAAGGCACCTGTAGAAATATTATCAGAGAGTGGAAACAAAAAAAGCTTCTATGAATTTTAATTAAAAAATTTGCAATTATTTTTTGTAATGTAAAAATAATTTTACATTGGGACATCAGAAATTTTTAACAATTCAATAATTAGTTAAAGGTACTATGTACTTTTATTTACTTAAAGTTTAGATAACATTTATATGTCAAAACCAAAAAAAAATTAGTAAATATTGAATTTTATCAGAATTAAATTTTAACAAACATTTAATTGCATACAAGAATGAGACGAAAAAACATAACATACTTTTTTACTATAAGTTACTTTTGTATTGATCCAAATTTGACTGCCATCAGTTACTTTTTAAAAACCTTGCTATCACAAAATTTTTCTTTAAAATCAACTAATTCATTGTTTGTATTTGGCTGATTAGAGTTTATGCTTCATGAACATAGTAAAAACAAACATAACATTATAGGCAAATGTCTTGAATGGCAAATGCAATTCTACACGTTTTTACAAAGAATATACAAGACCTTTAAGATGAAAGTTTAAGCAATATTCTTTTAGGAATTTTAATCATAATATAAATGTTATTCAGTCAAAAGAACTTTTCACGATTATAATTATTTTACAATAATATGATTTTAAGCATGATAAAAATAAAAAAGCATAAATTCTTGTCTCAAATTTCAAATAAATAATTATGAGAAAATTTCCAAAATTAAAATAATAAACTCAATGTTGATAATGAAAATCCTCAAGAGTTTCAGTAATACTTTAAAATCAGCTTTAAAAAAAAATTGCTTCCGATATCATACCAAAAGATTAAAGAAAAAACAAATTTTAAATATTCAACTGTTACAGTAATTAAGGAAAAAGAAATCCATAATAAATATAACTATTTCACAGCATAATACTTTTATTTAAAAACAAAACACACTGTAATATAAATTTCATCCAATTGTAAATGCAATACATTACCTTCATTGTTCAAAATTAACGTTGACAACCTTGTGGTAAAACAGAAATTAAAAATACTTAATTGTTATTAAATAAAATAATTTTCTTTTCATAACTTTAAACTGTTTGATACAGTTTGAGTTCCAATTGTTAGTCTATATTTGCTTGAAAATATATTTCCAAGTGGTCGTTAAATGCTTTTATGAAAAATTCAGCAACAGTTTTCGTATGCACCACAAAAAAACAGGGACGAACTTCACAATTTTCCCTCTTTCTCGAAACTTCAATATGACAGCATCTTTCTTCAACATGATGACTTAAATGGCAGATTTAAAGTGGTCCTTGCTGAATAATCACTGTTAAAATCATTCGCAGTAAGAATCGAACTTAAAATTCCATCAGAGTGTGCCATTTCCATTTGTAGTGTCTTAATAGTAGATTTCCTTGAAGATGAAAAGTTATACTAAAATTTAAAAAGAAAATACATCAGATTTATCAATGGAAAAAAAAATTAAAACTATTAACATTGAATATTTATTTGAAACTTTATTTATTTAATTTGAAAATGCTTTTCAGAAATTGTAATATCCTTTACAACGAAATTAAATGGTTTAATTCCAGTATTGATACCAGCGTAAAAAAAATTTCTCCAGTGTCACACAAAAAATAACACTGTGAGAAGGAGATCAACAAAAAGAATTTAGCTGATAAGCACTCCCAAGCAAACTATCATATATTTAAAAAAAAAATCAAATTGCAAAACCTTTCAACTTCTTTTATTTGAACAGAAAATAACTACTCGCTATGTGGCAAATCAACAGAAAGAGAGCCAAAAAATATTAAATAAACAAATGCTTATTTTAAAAATCGTATAAGTACATAAATGTAAAAAGATACTATGAAAATTCAAAATCATCAATTTATGGTAGAAAAAAACATGTAGAAGGAGAATTCTTTAACAATTCACATATTTCAAAGTTGTAATATTATTATATCTATATGTATTAATCATATTTTGCCCCTCCCCCAAATATGTTTACATAACGTTCTTTAAAAGTCATTATGCATAATATTTATTTTTTATTGTTTAGTTAAATTTTAAATCTCAGATTATATCTAATAGACATTTATTTAAAAACTTTATTGAACAATAATTAATTATCAGACATATTAAAACTTTATTAAACAATAATTAATTATTATTGTAATAATTATTTAATAAATATTTATTAAACTAAAAGAAACATTACAGAACAGGATAAACTCGAAAGGTATAACTCCGGGCAAACATATACATATTTTTTTTTATTAAATTGCAAGTTTAAAATCTATTTGGCGATTGCAGTTGGCGGGACAGATCACGATACTGAAATATCCCCAAGAAATTTAAATTAAATTTTTAATTCTTTTTTTTTTACAATATTTTAGACATGAAATTTTATTACGGTAACAATATTGTTTGTATTGAATGTTAAATATTCCAGAATGCAATGGTTTGAACTGAGCTAAAAATAGCAGATCATTAATTTTCTAATTGTTTTAACTTGGCTAATTTGTTTACAGACAACTATTTTTAATCTTTTTCATTGTTGCAGAAAAACTTTGTCAGGATCGAATTACTTAGCAAACATTGTTTTACAAGCATATTTTGAACCAATTAAATTACTTATTATTTATATTTAAAAAAGTGGTGAAAAATGTTAAATAAACAATTGCTTATTTTCTTCCATTGTATAATTTAAAATTTGATTAACGTAAAAGAACATCAATGTAAAAAGATACTATGAGAATTCAAAATCATCAATTCATGGTTGAAAAAATCATATAGAAAGAGAATTCTCTAACAATTCACATAATTCAAAGTCGTAAATATATAAAATATAGTTCGCCCCTTTCCCCAAATATTTTGACATAGCATTCTTTAAAAGTCAGTATGCATACCCAACATTTGTCAAATATTTTTTTTCTTATAGTTTAACTAAAGTTTTACAGCATTAGATTATTTCTAACAGGAATTTATTTGACAAATATAATTTAAAGCTCTACATTCACCATGTTGAATAGACCAAATTATTGCTTATTTTTTAATCATAGTCTATAATTAAAGAAAAATGCTTAATTGATTGAAATTTTAATATGCATGCATATAATATAGCATGAAATTTTAATATGCTAACAATATTGTTTGTATTAAACTTTAAACATTTTACAATATAATGGTTTTAACTGCGCTAAAAGTAGCAGATTATACATATATATTTCTTATTTAACACGGCTAATTTATTTACAGACCATTACTTTTGTCTTTTTCATTTTTGCAGAAAAACAGTGCTTATTACTTACAGCTAGACAATACGTTTCAACAAAGAAGTCAACAACTACGAGTGAACAATAATGATCACAATATAAAATATTTACTGACCTTATTGAATACAGGATCAATAAATTAATTCTTATTCAGCGGTAAAGTTTATTAAGTAGGTACACTGCTGTATGTTTCTACAACATCTACAATCTCAAACACATCGTGCTTTAAATTACTTTTCTAGCTGATTTTTAACTCAAGGAAAAAACATTACCTACGATACTAATTTATCAGGTAACTATCATTGACATTTATAAAGTTTACAAAAAACTACTAAATTATAAATACCTTAAATAGTAGAAACGAAAGCTCATGAGCGGAAACAAGATCGCCATCTTGTCGTCTTGTAAACAAGCAGAAGGAGTTACAACTCAACATAAACAGTTGAAAAAGTTTTTCGAGTTTAATCATTCGCAAACTACCACTAATATTATCTGCCATAAAATAGCATTGGCTGAAAATGATATTTTAAGTAATATTTAATTTATCGTTTTCTTTCATAAATAAATGTTTATTTATTAATAATATGGGATAACCTTTCGCAAAAATGTGGCGTTGGACGAAAATTAGTGAAATAGATGATAATTTTGAAAGTTCGAATGTTAGATCGAATACTATTTAATTTTATATAATATTAGCTCTAATATTAGAAGATAGGATTCAATAGTATAGCGTTTTCTAGCACGGCAGTATTATATTGCATCTTTCTAATATTAGATCATATCTTTTTGCTACCTGGGTTTTTTCATTCCGTACTGACAACGAATGAGAAAAATAAAACTTCTCGAATACAATTTCATAAAAAATAATAAAATTGAATTACTTTGATTTCTCTTTTAAAGTTACCAATAAAGAAAATTTTCAAATCAGAAAAATTTAATTTTAAATATTTTTTTATTTTAAATGAAAGATTTTCATTTGTCTTCGATAAAATGTAACCCATTGCAACTCTTTATGTATGCAGCTTTTTTAGAGCATTAAAATAGTCAAAAACTGTCGAAACAGAAGATTGCATTGCATTTGTTATTAGAAACAGTGTTACTAATAAGAACATAATTATAGCGATCATATTCCGAAAGGGTGATAAATAAATATTGGATAATAAAAAAGTAATGAAAAAGGAATAAAGAAATATTGGAAACCTAAACAAAATACTTTAATAGTTTTTATTAGTGTTCTGCTGATTACAAATAAAGAAACGTTACAGAACTTAGTGCGAAAACACTAGATTGTTACCTCGTTATTTATTTATTTACTGAGAATGCCAGCAGATTTACATAACAGACTTTCATAAATGTGGTTTCTATTTTGTTAAAAAATGAAAAACGTTTCTTAAACTATTCAATCTGAATACATTCTTCTTCTTCTTCAAAGTTGAACAATTTCAAATTTATTTGCAGCTTTATCTCTCTAAAAGACATATAAAAGCTTAGAATTTGTGTATTTGTCATATAACAAAAAAGTAAGCAATTTAGTATTATAAACGCATATGTCCTTATTGTGAATTATAATTCATTAAAACTGCAAATATACATTTTAGGAAAATCATGATAGTGCTAGATAGCAGCACTATGATGTGAGACATATAAGACATTTATTCCATGACTGTTTTGCAGATGGCACCACTAAAGGTAACGTCCTGTAAAAATTAAAACAATTTTAAGTCTCTTTCTACTGAAAATACTGTATTTCTATATTTTATAAAATATTAAAAATGTTAACATTTGACTGATTAACAAATACTTTTGTTTGAGATTCAGTTTAAGGATCACAAATGCTGTCAATCCACGATTTTCAAAAATGATTCAAAAGCTGGATATATGCACAAATAACACCCATCAATTTTCTGATTTAAGTTTTTAAAAATAATTGTTTCTGCCTGTGGATTTAGAATTGCATTTGTTGGAATTCTACCAAATTTTTTTTATTTATTTTTACTTCATTTTGTCTATTTAATTTGAATTGCAATCACTTCCTGAAAAATAGTATTTATTTAAGATTTAAAATATAATTTACATAAAAATACGTGTTTTCCCTTGCAAAATTTCGAATAAGTAAATAAGTCTAAAAAATTTAAGTACCTAAAACTACCTAGTACGTTATCAACCAGTTTTCGTTTAATACAAAAAACATCAATGCTCGTAATTTTTGTACGTTATATTTTAGTAAGAATAATTACATACTAGAGATTAGTTTAAAGTATTGATGAGGGAAATAATAATAAGCTTTCAAGTTTTTTTCGTGTTATCGTTCTTGTACAGCACGTAAAACATATTTTCATTTTCAATAATTTATTATCAATGTCCATTATGCTAAAGAATGCAGTTTTCCCAATTAATTCGAATAAAGATTTCATTAATTTATTTTTCAACTATAGTTGCCTTTCTTAGAACTGTGTTCAATACATGGGCATACTAATCTGAACTATCAAATATCTATGAAAGCAAAAATATCTATTTGATATTAATAAAACTTTTTCTCATGTTTAAAAGTCTAAACAACGGAGATGGCTTTTTGTTGCTAGTTTGTTTCTTAAGCCGACTAATTATTTAATAATTTTCCATAACTTGTTTTAACTATAACCAGTAAACCATTGAACTTTTCAGCAGCTGGAAATTTTTAATACTTGCTTTTGCAATCTGTGCCTTGTTGATTGCTTTAAAGAAGATGGCTACGCTGTATGTTTCTCATCTCATGCCAGCAAGAAACATCTCTCATATGCAATATCAGATAGTCGCATTTACGATAACCTATTATGTATTTATTACGTTAAATTATTTTGTTTCTTTTCGTTCCATCTATTTTCGTTTTGATTTCTTTTTTCTTTTCTTTGATAATTAATTTTTGTCATGACTATGTGATCTAAAATATAGTAATCTGAAATAAGCAAACCTTTCATTAGATATTTTTACTTTTACTTTTATTTATTTTGTGTTGGTGTACTAAATTTGAAGAGTTGCCCATTATCAAGTAACGAAAACAAAACTAACTTTCTTTTTGAACAGTATTTTTTTTCTTTTTATTATTATTTATTATTTATTTTTTTGAACAATCGGATTTTTGCTATTTACACACTCTTGATTTTATTATATATAATTAAAAGTGTAAAACCACATTCTTAAAATTCATTTTGTTTGAAGAGGAAACTTGGAAAGTGGAAACCATTTTCACGTAACTTTTTTACTTATAATTTTTTTATTTCTTTTTTTTTTATTTTCTTTTTTTGTAGTCCAAATTTGTCTTGATACAGAAGATAACTTCTACTGACAAAGACATCTTTTCTTTTTAAGTACTTCAAATCATATTTTTTTTAAACAATCGTATTTTTGTCTTTTATTCTGTGTTGAATAATTATTTATTATTAAAAAAACAAAACCATGTTTTTTTTTTCAATTTATTGTTCTTGAAAAAAAAACTTGATGATTTATAAAAAGTTTGAAATAGAATAAGCGATGATAACTCGCTATTTTAATTCATGTTTAGTCAGATTTGAAACAAATATTATAAATATTTAAGCAAAACTGAAAAAAAAATTTGATTTTTAGTATATGTTGTCTGGTTGGCCATAGTCTGCATAAATAATTGTTCTTCAGAGCGGAGAACTGCTTTGAAAACATTTTTTTAATCTATAAGGACCAATCAGATTGAGAACTGAAAAAAATTTTAATGCTAAGTTCAAAAAATGTAAGTTTCCAAAATAGTGAATAAAATTTTTTAAGTATAATCATTACAATAACATGATCAATCCCCTCAACACCAGATATTGTATAAAGCATGGACTTTAATTTATTACCTATTTTTTAAATATATACGCATCTGAGAAGGTTTTCTGTTCAATATTTTCATAAGAATATTTTTATAATATGCACTTATTGGAATTGATTGTTTTTGAGCGACAAGTAATAGAAAGCTTATTTGTGATACTAAAAATTTCAAAATAATTAATTTAACAATCATGCTTTTGCCATATTCACTTAAAAAGTACTGATACAAGTATTTATATTTTTAATTACATATGCTGTATGTATATATTTTACGTATGATTTTTTATTTTCAATTTATAAATCGCAAAGATTGTAATCTCAATAAGATACAGAAAAACACACTATCATTTTATAATTAATTTTGAAAACTATATTAACAATGAAAGGTATGTCACAGAAAACGGAAATTTCACAACTTATTTATATCTCTTTTTTAGGAAGTTAAGAAATTAAATGGAAAGTAAAATGTCTCAGAAGAGTAGATTCTTATACATTTGCTGCTGCCCTCTATTGGTAATGGACACAAAAGAGCAGTTTGAATTTTGTATTCGGTTAAAAACAGCTATCGTTGAAATTCATGCTTATTTTTACTTTCATTTTTAATAATACCAAGTTAAATTAATTTATTAATAGTCTTTTCATTAAAATACTTTTCATTAAAGTTTCATCAAAGCAAATTTTTAAAAATGTTTCCGAAAACGAACTAAACATTTTTTTGCTTATTATCGATATATTATATCTTAGATAAATATTTTGCATTGCTTTTCAAATTAAAAAAGGAAACAATAAGTTGAAAGTTTTTGAAAATATTTGTGCAAAGGCCACATTTTCCATTCGTCATAGATTTTTTACTAATCTGGTGAATATTTTGAAATCATTGCTATTTCAATCTAAAGGAAAAAATAAGTTTTTTTTTTTTAATATTACAATGCCTGAATAATCATGTTTCATCAAAGGTTGGTACCTCTAAGAAAATAATTTTACTTTCTCAGATTTTTTCCTTTTAACTAATACCTAGCCAATGCAAAAAATCTTCCTTTTAAAATATGATGTATATTGGACATTTTAAAATACAGAGTAAAAAATTTAATAAAACAGCAAAATGAAAATTGAAAGTAATAAAAGAAAAAAGAGTTCGCTGGCACGTAAACACATTCTGTAACATAATTACATATTTCAATACAGAACTGAGAAAAAATTTTTAAAAAAAAATTTAAATATGAGAAATATTTTAAATTGATTATATTAAATTAGCAGTTATTCCTTTTACGTAATGTTTATTAAAACTACTTCATATATTTTATATATTATAAAAAATTATTCTATTGATGTGCATAAATAATTAGAATTTCTAAGTGTCTTATATTTTGCACAAATTTTAATTATATTTATAACTAACAAAGATTATTTCTTATTTTTCGTTTGTTTTTTCACACAAACATAAGATTTCAAATCCCTATTTTAATCGCAAAGTTTTATATCGCAATAGCCAAAAACAAATTAAATCCTCAAAATGA